TCCTCCCCGCCGCGAAGGGAGGGGGTGGTTATGGTTGTGACTGGAGGGGGGGGAGACCCTTGAGGAGCGCGGGGGGGTCGCGGGGAGAGGAAGAGAGGGATCCTGAATGGGACACCCCCCTACACACAATACACACCCCACAGACCCACAACACCCCCACCACCTCAAAAACCTAGCCTGACGTCCCTGACATTTCTTCCTTTCTTGACTACCATTTCTACCCAGCTTTTCTGTTGGACTAGAATCCTGACTGGCAAAAACACTGAGGAGGCCCAACACGCTCAACAGGAGGAAATCCCATTTCCCGCCCTGAGAAGGAAAGGACACACAAAAGGAACCCTGAGAACACACTCAAAGCACAAAGCCCTCCCCCCCCCATATCAGAAGCCCCGCCAGGCTATCATTCCCTCTGTTTTCTTTTGGTTTGTTTTTTTGGGGGGGGGCAGTGTCACCCCGTCCGGCACAGGCCACCCCCTTGATTCCTCGGCCTCCTTTTCTACTGACCGTGAGCGCCTCTCTTTCTCTTGCCCTGCTTCAGGGTCATCCCCGTCCGTTCCGTTCCTGACAACCAGCACACACACGGGTCTAGAGCCACAACGGCCTTTTCCTGGAAAGGAGAGGGAAAGGAGAGGCCGAGTGGGGGGGGTCACCGTCGACCCCAAAACTCTGGACCACCTTGGCCAGCAGTTTCATGGAGATGGTCAATAGCGTACGGGACAAAATCTGAGGGATCCCCACAGGCCAGTGTCCAGGGCGTTGAGCAGGAGACCCTCCCCCCCAGCACCAGCCACTGGGTCTTCCCCTCAAAAGAAGGCCGGGAGCCATTGGAAGACTCTCCCGTCCCAGAGATGGAAAAACCTCCGGAGAAGGACGGGTTGAGTGGGCAGGAGGGGAGAGGCGAAGGCCTCTTTGTGAAACAGGGTAGAATCCCCTTGGGCTTAAAGTAGGGCAGAGTAGGACCACGGATCAACAAGCCTTCCTTGGACCCCACAGTATTCAACTTTCAGGGACCTGTTTCTAAGATTCCCTTCTTGGGTAATGTTTCAGAGGTTCTGAGCTCCAAGGATTTCTGATTCCAGTGTTCTGGATGTTACCACTCATGGGGTGAAAATTATTATTGTGCTGAGGGGCTCCTCACACGAGGGAAAAAGAAAGAAAAAAAAGATTCACCCAGAACTTAGAATACAGGATTCAGGAAAGGCCAGGTGCACTATAACAAGAGAAAAGAGCAAATAATAAATCCGGGTTTCACAAAAGAAAATGCAATTGCAAAAATGAAAATCAGTCATCCTCACTTTGTTCTATTTGGTTTATTTAGCTAGAAAAATAGCCTTGCCTCATACGAAGCAACCCAGAGAGAATGGAAACTACGCTATGGCTGGACTTCAGCTCCTCTCCACATCAGATGATATGCCAGCTTAACTGTGTCCGGCTTTATCCTTAGGCAATGCAAGATGGCATGGTGCACAGTTTGTCACACAGATCCAACGTAACATCAAGGATTCCGTGCCCAAGGGTATGAGGTGGAATCAACTTTCAGGACAGCAGGTGGCCTACTAAACATCCCAAAAACGACACCAGAAAGAATCTTGCAAAAGAGTACTCCTGCACGGGCAAACTGCCAGAGAACTGGAAAAAAGCTCTTGTGGTTCCAGTCTTCAAAAAGGGGTGAAAAGTGGATCCAGGAAACTACAGACCAAGCAACTTGACATAAATACCTGGGAAAATCCTTGAAAAAATAATCAAGCAGCAGATTTGTGAGCACCTAGAAGACAACACAGTGATGATTAGAAGCCAGCATGGGTTTGTTGAGAACAGATCAGGTCATGCCAAACAAATCTTGTTGCCATCTTTGATAAAGTGACTAAATTAGTGGAAACACAGTGGATATAGTCTACTTAGACTTCAGTAAGGCACTGGATAAGGTAGACCACAACCTACTTCTGAGTAAGATAGAACAAAGTGGTATAGACAACCCAACCACCAGATCTACATGGAAGGAAGCACGCAGTGGGGTCCCTCGTGTTTCTTTCTCGGGCCTAGTGCTGTTCTTCAACAACTTCATAAATGACCTGGATGAGGGGGTTGAAGGAGCACTCCTCAAATTCATTGATGACATCAAGCTAGGGGGAGCTGCTAATACTTTGGAAGATAGATGCAACATTCAGAAAGATCTAGAGATGATATTTATTTATTTAAAAATATTTTACCCCATCTTTGTCTGGGAAGAATCCACAATCATCTAACACTGGAGGTATTCAAGACAATTTTAGACAACCACCTGGCAGATATCTTTTGACTTGTATGCCTGGATTGAGCCGGTTGGGTTGGACTTGACAGCTTTATAGGCCGCTTCAAACTTCATTATTTGATGAATCTGTGAGGCCTAAGCCCTGCCGAATAGGGAGGGTTTAGTACCTTACAGGATTTGGAGATTATACTTCTGTTAATGTAGCCTAACATATCATTGCAGCTCTTATCACACTAGGGTGATAGAGGGAGGGAGGGAGGAGTTGGGTCAAATTCATGTGGGTCGCTTCGATTCATCTTGATCTAGGGAAAAGACCCTGATGTTGAGAAACTGTGAAGGCAAGAGGAGAAGGGGACGACAGAGGATGAGGTGGTTGGACAGTGTCATGGAAGTGACCAACATGAATTTGACCCAACTCCGTGAGGCAGTGGAAGACAGGAGGGCCTGGTGTGCTGTTAGCAGAAGATCCAGACTAGAAAAGACATTGGAGGAAGGCAAAGGTTGTGTAGTAGGAGAATTGATCAAACTGGATGAAGAAGGCGGAACGAATAAAGCGGTGGAAGTGTTTCTAGCGGAGAGATCAAAGGACTTGGGGGAGGAGTTAGGGGATTGGAGAAAGAATGGAATCGGGAGGTGGGTTCGATTACTCCTTTACCAGAGCACCACG